ACACCCACCCACAGGAACACCCATCCACAAGAACACCCACCCACAAGAACACCCACGCACAGGGACACCCACCCACAGGGACACCCACGCACAAGAACACCCACCCACAGGAACACCCACGCACAGGGACACCCACGCACAGGGACACTCCCCCACAGGAACACCCCCCCACAGGGACACCCACCCACAGGAACACCCACCCACAGGAACACCCACGCACAGGGGTGCCCATGCACACAGACCCCTGCCCACAGGACCACTCGTGTTTGTGGGCACCCACGCTCACAGAGACCCGCCAGGCACACGGGTCCCCACAGACACCCGTGCACATGGACACGCACCAGAGGAGCACCCACCCACAGGGACAGCCGTGCTGACACCCTGCACACGGGCCCCACACGCATGGACACGCGTGGACACCCATGGACACGCATGGACACACTGCCCAGTCCCAGACACACATAGAAACCCACCCACAGGAGGACCCACGCACGTGACCACACACGAGCACACTCATGCACACAAATCCCATGCACATGGGTGCACAAAGGTGCCCACACACACGCGTGTGCCCTGCACACAGACACCCGTGCACGTGGGTGGCTGTGCACGCACACACTCACGGGTGCCAACACCCACGGGTGGCCACACACCTGGATACCCACGCACACAGATGTCCATGCACACTTGTGTCCACCCACACTCAAGGGATGCCCATGTACACAAGTGACCATGTACACGGGTGCCCACGCACATGCAAGCCCACGCACACGGGTACCCACGCACACGGGTGCCCACGGTGTCCCTGCCGGGGCTGGTCTCCACGCTGGGGGACGAACAGCCCGTGTCCTTGCCTGGCGGTGGCCGGGGCCACGCGTGGGTGCTGGGGACGTGTGCTGCGGGACACGGTGGCCCTTCCTGTGGCCCCACGCAAGATGTGACTGTCCCCCGTGGAGCTGGTGCAGCCCCCCCGAAGCACCGCAGGACCGCCCGTTGCTGCTTCCCCCTCTCCGGGTTCTCCCCACGGTCACACGGAGGGGAGACCCCGGGTCTCTGGGGGGCGGGCGGGTGGAGCAGCACCCACGCGGG